TTGTAAAATAATTTTTTTATGTGTTTCACACCGTGTGTAAAATCAGTTGTGTAACATCAACGGTTCCTCCTGTTTTTGTAATCTAGATAACAATTAATCGTTATGTTGATTGAATTCACATCATAAGATTTAATTATTTGCATTTGTGATAATAATATTCATAAAAATCCACGTGTCTTTTTTAATAGTACCACCGGACTTAATATTTAAAATTTGAATAATTGAGTAAAGTTATAGATAAAAAGCCCATGTTTTTCTTTTGGCGTCACTCATATATACTTGAGTTAATGCGAAATTAAATATTTGTGCTATAAAAGAAAGACCTTATAAGCTTGAATCACTGAGTTTAAACACACTTATTAATAATGATAGAGCAATATAAAAATAACAATAAATTATTCGCGGCATGAATATACGATTTTGTAAAAGACCTTGTATATTTAAGGGAAGCATTTGACACTAAGGGTAAACGAGAAAATTAGTTGCACGGATTTTATCATGCAAAAAACGCAAACTTTCCGATGGTCCTCAGAGATATGGCAAAGGCAGATAAAATAATTGGTATAACCAAATCAAAGAATTTGTATCAAAATTCAGATTCTTATAGCTGAATTTTTTAGGATCGAACCATATTAATAAACTATATGCCCAATTACATCATTATCATGATCTAATTTCATATTATATATATAAATGACTGATTAACTCTTGCATTTACTGAGCCCATTTACCTCAGAACATTCGTATCTTACCAGTTCTAGTTCTACCATACCGACCTTTTCAACTTCTTCTGATATGTCAACAGCTCGGCTTCAGTTGCGTAAAGAGACCTTAATTCAGCCAGAGATCGTTTACTTGCTTTTCAACAAGAAAAAATGGAGGCAGAGGAGTTTGTTAAGCCAATTATTATCGCTAAAAATGTGTCCCTTGAAACTTACACTGAATATTGCAAGGCTGAACGAAAACTCCCTGTCAAAATTCGCTTGATCGATGGAAACATCATAGCTTATGAAGTACCACTCACAGATCATGGTGTGGTAGTAAGCAAATTTTTAATCTTGATAAATAACTGGGATGATCAATTGATAAGTGCATTTGGAGAAGATCTTATCTTGGAATCAAGTTACTGCACAGCTGATCTTACCGTTCGGCCAAGGGATCTTCCTCCACTTCATCCCGGTCACGAACCTAACTCGAGCGGGGTAGCATATCCAACAATGGTTATTGAAGTTGGTACTACTGAAACTATCTCCAGCTTACATGATCTTTCAACAAGGTATTTTTCATCACGAACAACTATTCAAATTTACCTTGCTATCAAGCTATTTCCCATTCGCCAGGATCATACAAGAGCAATGCTTGCAATGCGTTATCTACGTACAAATCAATATCCGACAGTACCAGACGTTGTAATTTCTTTCGGCACTGCACCTCTCCACAATCAAATAATAGATTTCCTTTTGAATAATATGGACGTTTTAGATGCTAACATTACTGGCGTAGGAAGGTTTAAAGCAATTGCTTGCAATGGCCCTAGAATTCCAAATTATCAATTGAATATTCCTGCTGCTGAACTTTACAATGGTACTCCTAATGGCATTCCTCCCAATTCAGTTGATGGAATCGACTTGGATTTATGGAAAATACAAAAAGCAGCATTGAATCCTTATTATTAGTTTGCTGGATTATTTAATGGTGTATATATTTAAGTCATGGAATAATCAATTCAGAAATTTACTTAGGTGTTAGTTTGTCACCACTATGAGCAATAAATATATGTATGAAACTTAACAATGTACATGCACCACAAAGAATAATATAAATTCAAGAGTTTTATTTGCTTAATGATTACAAAAAATGTGATATCAATGTAATTTTATTATTTGCTATTCATATTATAGTTAAGTATTTAATACTTTGAATTTATTAAACAAGATCCAATTCTCGATGTTCTGAAATAACTATATATGAGCCTTCGCAATAACTAACATGTCTTAGGACAATCCAGTTTTCTTACACAATTCTTTCCTAAGTCGATCCAGCATTTATTAACTGACAAATTTTATGAAAATTAATATATTTTTCGTGTTCCTTTTTATTTTGATTTAAAAACCATATTCTGAATAATGAAGATCAAGTTCTAATCCTGCAAGTGATTCTCGCGTGTTGAGAAATCAGTCGACGTATCTCAGATGGTGGTCAAAACATCATTGTTTTTTTCTAGTAATATTGTAATATTCATGCATAAAAACGTCATAATTTTAGATCCATCTCCATTAATTAGATCAATACGGCGAGTAATAACACATTCCTGAACCACGATGTACAGTACGTACGTACATGACCATCAAATATTCGGGTACATTTACAAGCATTATCAGGTAACAATTTTCTGATTAATAGAGCTAAACCTAGGATGAGTTCGATAATGAATGCTTTCGTAATATTTGTTAAATTATGTAGTGTATAATGTTTATTATGATTTCAAATTTATACATGAGTTTTAAAATGTTAATATATCTTCAACGACCATGGAGCAAAATACAAATATTCATAAATTGTCACAATTTTCAAGGTATTTCTTTGATCGATTATAAACTTGTTTATCAATTACTGATTCTATGTTGATTTTATTCTACTATATAGTGCCAATATCTTCAAATATTTTTCCAAGAATTGATTTTCCGCCTTTACTGCTGAGGTGTTCAAATATGCAGATGTTATGTTCCGTAACTGTTATGACAGTACAAGGACAAGAAATTGATGGTTTTTCTAGGTTCTGCGGCTGTGTGATAGTGTAAGTCCAATTGCTGATATTTCCGTTCTCCTTATAGCTAAATGAATATATTTAGGCATATTTATCGGCATATTGTCCAGCTCTGGTCGTTAGTAACCTTCCCTGTTACGCTGTATGCTTTTATTGACTATTATAGTCGTTGTATCTATATATATATCGTTAATATTGTTCATATTATTCGGAAGTTGGTGTTAGTTTCTTTCGCATAATTTCTGTATTTTGATATGATAGAGCCAATTAGAATTAGTGGTTTTATTCTCATTTGTTTCTTCATTATAGAAAGAAATAAAGTCTATTATCGAGCAATAATAATTAAAAATTGAAGTGACAATTTCAAGCAGCGTACATTTACATTCATAATGGTAATTTCAGGTAGCGATCGACTTCATAACGCCTTGCAGACAAATCTGCTTACAAATTATTATTTCTAAATGTTTATACCCAATGAATTCCGACTTAGAAACTCTAACTCTCAATCCAAAATCTACAAAATAACGAAAAAATTTGAGTAACATAAAATCAACTTCAGAATTCTAAAAGTGATACATATAACTCGAATTAAAACTTTGAGCTCGGATTTTTGATTGGCGTTGCTATAATAATAATTTGTAACATTCCTAGTGTCGTGGTGACGACCAAACCCTATTACAGTAGCGATCCGTAGCTTTAAAATTCTAGCTATCCGAATAATTTTCCAATCCTATGCAGATTTATAATAAACTATCCGAAAAATAATTATGCTCGGATAGACTCGGATTATTCAATGACTACATATAAATAAGATTATTATTATTTTTTAATGGTTATATACATTACATTCGAAAAAATTCCAATACTATTTAAATTGGCAAGAATTTATCTAGCCGTTCCAGCAACATCCATCCCAAGTGAACGTTTATTCAGTGATGCGGGCAACTTAATGACATCAAAGAGAACAAGAATTTCCCCGGAACTTTTTAAAAGAATGATATTTTTAAAAAGGAATAATATGTTATTATTTAGCGTTAGTGTTTTCATCCTGAATAATATGTTGTTAGTAATATAATTGTAAACTTATATGTACTTGTTAATTATAGCAATAGAATTGTTATTATGCATTGAGAAAAATAAATATACGTACTATCTTTTACATTATCGTTATGTTATTAAATATTAATTATTACGATCGGCTATAGGATACCTGCAAAAAGGATAACGTATAATCTGATCCGATTTAATATTAGATTCGGATATATCCGTTTAAAAAATATCTACGTTACAGCTGTTTTCATAATTCCTGGGACACCTGATAAAATTTACCGAATGATTTTTCGACCGATCCGGTTAAGTTATTGATTTCGGCATGTCCATATAAAAATAGATTTCATATTACATGTAATATATGTATATTGTAGTCATCGGAATGGTGAGTAAATTCTAACGGAATAAAAATAAAATAATTCTGATGCATTCTGATGCAAACCAACACAATCTTGATCGCATAGAAATCATGATAATTCTGATGCAAATTAGCTCGACCATAATTATGTAAAAATCACAGTTTTAACTCAATTTTAACTATGCATTGTGGTTGTTGGAATAGAGAGTAAGTTCTATTGTAGAATTTTTTGCAGTAAAGATAGTAATTTTAATACAAACTAACTTGATCTTAATACATAGAAATTGGATAATTCCAATGCAAACCAATTCAATTTTAACCACGTATTGTGGTTACCAGGATATTAAGTAAGTTCTATGTAAATTTTTTTAATAATATAAATCATACTAATTTTTTATAAGCTAACTCAACTTCAAACACTGTACCACATTAGCGAGTAAATTTTATGACCGAAATTTTACAATAACCCAGAGAAGAAATCACTCGACTTTGATTACTTGGTACGATTACTAGAATAGCAAGTAAGTACTGTAACAGGATATTTTACCACAACTAGTTATGAAAATTATAGTAATTTCAATATAAACTGACCCAACCTTAACTACTGTGCACTACATTATACAGTAAACTCGCGGTAAAAATTACAATAATTCTAATACAAACTCTAACTACTAGGAATACGAGTAAGTTTCATACTAGAAATATTTACAGTAACTCATAATAGAAATGCGTTAATTTCAATATAAACTAACTTAACTTTGACACATTCAACATGTTAGTGAAATCGCCCTATAAAAAAAGTGATCTGGTATCGCACAGAAAACATTGTATGGGCTTGTGGTCGAATTAGTGCTCCGAACGGGTCGGGTCAACCCGAAAACCTGACCCGAAATTTCGGGTCGGGTTCGGGTTAGAAATTTTTACAGCTATTATCATAATTTCTGGGACATCTGCTCATTACCCGAAATCTTTTTGGTCGTTCGGTAAATTACCT